ACATGGCTTCTCCGGGGCCAGGGTTCTGGCTTCATCAGGGTAGGTCCATGTGGCTTCTCCTCAAGGATATCTCAGTGGGAGTCAACCTTGTCAGTAGAGTCTCCAAGAAAGTGAAGTGGTGAGAGGGAGTTTCTCCTGCCTCCAAGGAAGAAGCACTAGAATTTTCTGAGAAGCCTCAGGGGAAGGCCATACCCACAGAGACATCATTGACTGTGACCCTATTGAAAGACTGGACTCCACCCCTTCAGTCTTAATCCTCTCAAGTCCCAAATTGACACCAGGTTGTGTAACTACCATACTCAGCATACAGATTGAATAAGTATGGTGAAAGGATACAACTATGAAGCATAATTTTTCTGTTTTTAAACAGTGCCATCTCTGTTTGGTTCACACAACTACCTCTTGATTGGTGTACAAGTTCCACATGTGTACAATGAAGTGTTCTGTAATCAGGAAATTGAGTTATGAGGGAAAGGCAGAGGTACTCAAGGGAAAGAAGACATCCCGAGCTGCTCCACTGGCCCATTTGTCTTAGCACATCAAATGAGGATGCAAAGGAGGAAGTTTACAAAAATTCAAATGTGGGGCATATATTAGTGTACAACTTCAGGCTTACATTGTTCTCACGGTTGATAACTAATAAACATAATCACATTTTGACCTCATTGAGAGTCTTGTTGCAACAAGTAATACCTTCTCACTTACTATCTGTGCCAAGTCCCTTACATGCAAACTGTCCCTACTTTAGGTTTAATAAAATTAACTATCCCAGAGGGAAACAAGACGATATTTCCCTACTCTCAATGCTATCCATATTTTGTTAGGATACACACAGTCAAATTCCTTGGCATAGTCAATCAAATACAAATAAACATATATTTGTTCTCGATGTTTAGCTGAAATCCATATGACATCAGTAACACTGTAGTTTTTCCATATCTTCTTCTAGATCTGGCCTGATTCTCTAGCAGCTCCTTCCAGCACATCATAAAATTATTGAAACATTTCAGTTGCTATTTTCTTTTCATTTTTCTTTTTATCATTTTATTGGGGGATAGTACAAATCTTATCATAATCCATACATACATCCATTGTGTCAAGCACATTTGTACATTTGTTGCCCTCATCAATTTCAAAACATTTGCTTTCTTCTTGAGCTCTTGGTATCAGCTCCTTATTTTTCCTATGTATTGAGCATTCTATTGGGTTACCTCCTTTGGAATATGTACAAATATGGATCTTTCCAGTAAGTTGTTCTAGTAGTTGTCTTCCAAATGTCTTGGTGCAGGTGAATATGTCCTTCCAGTGCATCATATGTTTATTGAAACAATTCAGTTGGTATTTTCTTTTTCTTTTTATCATTTTATTGGGGGAATCATTCAACTCTTATAATCCATACATACATCCATTGTGCCAAGCACATTTGTACATTTGTTGCCCTCACAATTCTCAAAACATTTACTTTCCTCTTGTCCTACTATGATGCTCAGTCTTCATTTGGGTTTCAGTAATTCCCCTCGGTTACATTACCTACCAGGGGTCATATACTCTTCTCACCACCTATTTTGGATCACTTGTTGTTCCCTTGTCCTTGGGTTTTTTAACACCACTTCCTTACCCCCACCTCCCCGTCTCCCATGTCCCTTTGGAACCATTGGTCCCATTGTTTTCTCCTCCATATTGTTTAACCAGCATATCTTATCTAGATGGACCCGCAGAGATAATAATATGCACAAAAAAACAAGACAGAGCAAAACAAAGCAATAAAAGAAAACAACAACAACAAAACCAATGACAAAAAGAAGAAAAGTTTGTAAATAGTTCAAGGTCTATTGACCTTTAGAAGTGTTTTCTGGTCAAGTATGATGGGGTGCCAAGTCATGGCCCCCAAATCCACTTTTGGCACTCCCTCAGGACTTCCTTACTCTGTTCCCTGTGCTGTTCTTTTGCATGCCATTTGTGTTTTGCCTCAGTGTGGTGGGGTCAGATAGGGTGCAATTCTCATACTGTGTCTCCAGTGTTGTCCCCTGAAGGGCTATGGTTCAGTGAGGGATGTCGTGTTTCATAGTGGGCCCAGACATATGGTCCTCTGTGTGTATTGTCTGCTCTGAGCAGGGATATCGTCCTCAAGGAATGGTGGGCCAGGATGTGTTCCTCTCTCTCTTCCTCCCCCTTCAAAAATTTACCATGACCAAGTGGGATTCATACCAGGAATGCAGGAATGGTTCAACATAAAAAGGACCATTAGTGTCAATTGCCACATTGACATGAACAACTATGAGGACCATATAATAATATCGATAGATGCTGAAAAAGCATTCAACAATATCCAACACCAATTCTTGTTTAAGACACTCAAGAAAATAGGAATGGAAGGACAATTCCTCAAGACAATAAAAGCTATATATGAAAAACCAACAGCCAATGTGGTAGTCACTGGACAAAAGACAAACACAATCCCACTGAAAAAGGGGACAAGACAGGGATGCCTCTTGTCCCCACTCTTATTTAACATTGTATTGGAGGTTTTAGCTAACAGCATAAGTCAAAGAAAAGACATGAAAGGTATTTTCCTGAGGAAGGAAGAAGTGAAACTGTCGTTTTTGCAGATGATAAGATGTTATACATGGAAAATCCCAAAAGCTGCACAGAGAAGTACTGGAAGCAATAGAGGGGTATGGCAGAGTGGCAGGATACAAGATCAACAAACAGAAGTCTATCAGACTGCTATACACATCGGAAAAGACCACATAATAGGAGATCAAAAAGGTGATGCCCTTCACAATATCCAAGCACAAATTGAAATATCTAGGGATATACCTGACTAAAAGAATAAAATATTTATAAGAGGAAAAGTGCAGAACACTCTTACAAGAAACCAAAAGTGATATCAACAAATGGAAGAATATCCCATGCTTATGGATTGGAAGACTCAATATAGTCAAGATGTCAGTTCTGCCAAAGGCACTATATAAGTTTAATTTAATCCCAATACAATTACCCTCATCCTTTTTCAAAGAAATGGAAAAACTGATTACCAACTTCATATGAAGAGGGAAGAAGCTGAGAATCAGCAGAGAACTCCTCAAGAAGAAGGACACAATGAGAGGGCTTGCTTTACCTGCCTTTAGCACATATTATACAGCCACAGTGGTGAAATCTGTATGGTACTGGTATAATGACAGATACGCAGACCAATGGAAAAGAACTGAAAACCCAGAAATAAAATCATCAGTATCCAGACAACTGATCTTTGATAAGGGCCCCAAAAATATCAAATGGGAAGCAGATGACCTCTTCAACAAGTGGTGCTGGAAAAAATGGATATCTACCTGCAAAAAAATGAAGCAAGACCCTTATCTCACTCCATTCACAAGAATAAATACAAGGTGGATCATAGACTTCGTGGTAAATCCCCAAAGTATTAGGGCTATCAATGAGTGAATTGGTACCAACCTGAGAACTTTGGCACAGGGAATACATAGACTATCAGAAATGGGGAAGGACACAAATACAGATGAGTCAAAAATTGACAAGTGGGATATACTGAAGATAAAACGCCTGTGTACATTGAAATAATTCACCAAGAGAGTAATAAGAGAGCCCACCGAGTGGGAAAACATCTTTAGCAATAACACATCAGACAAAGGCCTTATTACTAAAATCCACAATACTCTGCTAGCTCCCAAAAAGAAAAAAACTAATTGCCTACTGAGGAGGTGGACAAAGGACCTGAACAGAAGTTTCACAAGGGCAAAAATCCGAATGGCCTATAAAAATATGAGAAAATGTTCCCGATCATTAGCCATAAGAGAAATTCAAATTAAAACAACAATGAGATACCACCTAACACTCTGAAAGATAGCCCAATTCAAAAAATCAGAAAGCGACAAGTGATGGAGGGGCTGTGCTGAGATATGGACTCTCATCCACTTCTGATGGACTTGTAGGTATGTACATCCACTATCTAAATTGATTGGTGACTTCTAAAACAGATGGAAATTGAGCTACCATACGACCCAGTGATCCTCCTACTGGGTATAAACCCAGAAGAGGCAAGAAACCCCATGGCCAGACATCTGTGCTCCAATGTTTATCGTGGCACAGTTCTGTTGACATTTTCCACTGGAGCTTTTTTAGCTAATGCTTTCCGTTTTGCTTGAACTTTTTCCTTAATACCATTGTTTCTTGCTCATATGCTGAGCAAGAAATTATGGAATGTTGACAAGTTCCTTTTGGTGCAGTGACTCTGTGTACTCTTTCCTTCTTCTTTTGATGCTTCATGCATAACTCAATATTTTGCTTGTCGTATCTTTCAAAGCTGCAAAACAAGGCTTTACATTTTCTTGATTTCTTTCAGTTAAAGATATGCTCTGCGTGTTCTTCCTTTCTGTTTTTAATTTTAGGGCTTTGCAAATTTCACTATAATATTTTACTTTGTCTTCTCAGGTGCCCTTTGACATTTTCTGTCCAGCTCTATGGCTTCTTCATTTCTTCTATTTGCCTCGGCTCCGCTATGATTCAGTGTAAGTTTGAGAGTCTCCTCTGACATCTGCTTTGATCTTTTGTTTCTTATCTTTTAAATCATCTTTGGCTTTTTTTAAAGTTTAGCTAACATTTCAGCCATATGTCATAAATTAAGTAGTTCAATCATGTCATAAAGAATTGTACAATAATCAGCACATTCAATTCTAGAAAATTTTCTTCTTCCTTGTACTCATTGTTACTCATGTTATGATTTTTTTTTTCCATTTCCGCAAAAATTACTCAGGAAAACTCTCCAGTTCCTCAAATTCTACACATATATGTCAGTGCCATGGATTATACTCCTGATTATATGAATCATTATTGATATCCTTCTCCAAATTCTTCCACCACCAGAACATAGACTCAAGGCCTCCTAAAGGAAAAATTGTTCTCCTTTGCGAGTAATAATTATTGGTTAAGTTTGACTTCTTGACCTTTTCCTTCCTATTTTTTAGTTTATTTTTTTATTTTTCCTCTGTCTGAAATTTCTATAGCCTCGCTTCAGAGATGGTCCAGAGCAAGGCCTCAAACTATTTCAACACTGTTCTTGCAAGCACTGGGGGAATGCACAGGGTCAATCCAGACCCAGGCATGCTGGAAGCATGCCAGACTTTTTCCTTTCTTATGGATGGTGCTCTTGCTGTTCTCCCAAAGCTCCCAGGTCTTCTCTCATTAGGGTTTTTTGCAGTCAATCTCTTCTGGAGATGTTCTCAAAAGTCAGCTGGGATGAACTCAAGGTTCAATTTTTTGCTTTCATAGACTTGTTATAATTTTCTTTAACTTCAACCTAAATTTACCTATGAACAATTTTTCCACAGTTAACCACTGGTCTAGTTTGACTTGTTGGTATTAAATTTCTCCATCATCTCATATTTCATCCTGAGAGGTCTATATGTATAGTTGAGGGGTCTATATGTATAGTATGCAAATGCTTGTGTTGTTGAAAATAGATGTTTGCTATCAACAAATCTTTGACCAGGCAACATTCAATCACTTAATCTCCACCTTCATTGCATCATCAAATTTCAATTTTCCAACTTTTGTTCCATTTTCTCTTTTTCCAACTTTGGCATCCCAAAGGCCAATCTTTATCAATGCACCTTAATTGCATGTTTCATCAACTTCACACTCAAGTCTATAGAATTCTTCAATGGGTTCATTGCTAGTTTCAGTGGTTGGTGTATAAATTCGAATAATAGTTGTATTGATTGCATATTCTTGAAGGGGGAAACATCTACCACAGACTGCATTGTTCTTCAAGACTGATTTTGCAATGTCCTTTTTGACAATGAATGCTACACCATCCTGATTTTTAGTGTCATCTCCTGCATACTGTATCATACAATTTTCTGATTCATATGGCCAACACCAGTCCATTTTATCTCACTAAAGCCTAGGATATCCATTTTAATGTGTACCGTTTCATTTTGATGACTATCAGCTTTCCAGGACTCATACTTTGCACATTCCAAATTCTGATCATTAGCAAATTTATGCAGCAGTTTTCTTCTTCATTGTCTCTTCTTAGTCTGGAAGTTCCACTGAAACATGTTCACTTTGTGTAACTGTGCTGACATTTAAAATATATTAATGACAGAGCTTATAGCATTACAGCAACACCAAAGCCAACATATTATGATAAACTGACAGAATAGTAATGTAGTCTATTTATAGACAATGTTTATTTAGTGCAAGAATAGTAAATTATTTAATGTGATACTTCTAGACCAGCAGTGCTCAAGCTGAGGGTTGCAACCCCTTTGAGGGTCCAATGACCTGTTCACAGGGTCGCCCCATTCTTAATAGTAGCAAAATTACAGTTATAAGGTAGCAGCAAAAATATTTTTATGGGTGGGGGGTTCACCACAACATGAGGAACTGGATTAAAGGGTAATGGCATTAGGAAGTTTGAGACCTACTGTTCTAGACAATGTGTCTAACTCTTACCAAATTACCTTTTCCTGCATGGACTAGTAAGAATAGGGGTCATGATATGAGGATAGAATTCATCTGTGATTACTTGTGAACAGGATTCCCTAGAATGACAACCTGCTGTGTATAAACTGAGCCCTCTGAGAAGCAATAGGATAAATCTGATTACTAAAAAGAGCTAGGAGTGGAGCAAGTCCTGTAAACCATATATCCCTGCCCAGTGACCTACCTGGATCCAGAAACAGTTATAACATCAGGGGAGTAGTAACAGAACCAGGAGCCAGAGCATGGAACAGAGTCCCGGGCATCCCAAATTAGGGGGCAGGTAAAGTGAATGCTTCCGTGCTGGAGGCTGGCTTGTGGAGTGGAGCTCCTCTGGACATTTAATTGGGAAGGCTGGGCTTCCTGGCCCTCTGAAGTAGAGCTGAGTGCCTTTGGTCTGGGCTTCCTGAAGTGGGGTGCTTCGGTGCACTTAATTCAGGAATTGCTGACCCAGGGAGCTTGAGCAGAATGCCTTTCAGTTGAGGATTGCTGTGCACTGGTATGCTACTTCGGGGATTTGTTAGCATATCCGAAAGAACTGTGTAACATGTCCTGATAAACAACTATCCTGAGCATTTCTAACTGGCGTTAAAGTGTGAAAGCATCCAAAAGACCTTTTTAATCATGTCTTTTGTCAGAGTTCCATGTAGCCACTTAATGAAATTTAGAACTTAGGGAGGTAAAATAGAGAATATTAATTAACACAAATTAGTCTTAATTGGTCATTACACATTTACTTATTAATTAAAATTAGTTTAAGTATTACACATTAGCATAACAGATTCAGGTCACAAATATTATATATAAGAAATTATTGAAAAGCGGTTTTCATAACCAGAAAAAGATAAATTGACTGCCATCAAGCCAATGCTGACACCTAGCAACCTCTTGTTGGTTTCCAAGACGGTGGACAAGAGTAGAAAGCCCAACCATTGTTCTAAGGAGCCGCTGGTGGTATGAAACTTTGGACCATGTGACCAGCAATGCATAACCAGGTCCAGGGCTCCTCCTGTGAAAAAGATGTCAAAGTTGATAAACATAATTAAGAAGAAAATGAGATTAACAAAACTTTCCAAGGTAAGGAGAAACCATATAAAATATTTCTCCTTAAAACAAAAGGTTCAAGTGGTGTTCATGCAGAGAGATTTATCTGGGAAAAGGAACATTCTGCAGATTTTTTTTTAAAGACTGTGTATGATGCTGTGCTGGAGCGCCCCAGTGCGCACTTAGTTACCCCATTTCTCATTTGCATTGGGTAATAGTTGAAGCTCTATGGCTAAAGACATTAATTAATACTTCATTACACTTTTCAGCATAGAAACCTCTTACAAAATGTATTCATTTTGCGTTCACAGTTTGCTTCAATTTAGATTTTACAGGTTTATCCATTGTGTTCTCTCACTTCTCCCTCCACTGTTAGAAGTGGTGTATTTAAGTGATGTCTTACTCCATCTCTCCTCTTGTTTGCACAGGTATCTTTGGGATCTATTTACTGAGAGGTAGTTTTTATCAGATTACTTTCTCAGGATTTAGAATCCCCACTTGTTTCTATTCAATTCTTTTTTATTTACCCCTCTCAGCATTACACTTTTTAATAATAGTTTTATGGGGATATAAACCACATCATACAATTCAATAGTTCAATCATACTGAGCAGTACAATCATTACCTTAATCAATTTCAGAACATTTTCTTCTTTTATTGCTATTAGCACCACATTTCCATCAACCTCCCCGGCACTAACCCCCAAAACAATAAATCCAGTTACTGTCCCTAGAGATTTACCTATCTTGTATTTCATATATAGGAAAAGATACAAAAAAACAAAAAAACAAACCTATCAACAATTATAAAATAACAATCTGGAAAATATCTCAATTGAAAAGAAAGTCGAAAATATTAAAAGTTACAACAGCCTTAAAATGGGAAAAAAGCAAGAGCATAAGTAAGTTGTGACATTTGAACCTATCTACATCTGCCATGAAGATCAAGGATTGCAACCTTATGTACAGATTATAATTCAATATAAAGAAAACCAACCCCCCACACAAGACAAACAGGTATCACTACGATCAACACAGAAGCATTTGAAGTCGTGGAGGATTTTGTCTTGTTTGGATCCACAATCAGTGTTCATGCAAGCAGCAGTCAAGTGATCAAAAGACGCAATGCATTCACCAAATCTATTCCATAAGATTTCTTTAGAGTATTGAAAAACAAGGATTGTTACTTTGATCGCTAAGGAGGACCCGACCCAAATCATGGCATTTTCAACTGCCCCAGGGATATGTAGAAGTTGGACATTGAATTAAAAATATACATTTGAATTGTAGTGCCAGCAAAGAATATTGAAAGGATCATGTACTGATAAAAGGGCAAACATCTGTCTTGAAAGAAGTATTACAATAGTGCTACTTAAGGACAGGAGCATGGTGTCACTTTGTCTTACATACTTTGAACATGTTATCAGCAGAGATCAATCCCTGGAGAATATATTGTGCTTGTTGAAGTGATGTGGCAGGAAAAAAGGAAGGCTCTCTAGGAGATGGATTGACTCAGTGGCTCCGACAATGGGCTCAAATACAGGAACAATTGTGAGGCTGGCTGAGCTCAAGGACGTGTGTCTTTCTGTTGTACACAATGGGACTAAGGGTCTGAATTAACCAGATGGCCCTGAACAACCACAAAAATACCTGGCAAAATCGACTTCGAATGCACTCTTCACGATAGCAAGGCTATTCTGACCCTGGTCAGAAGGGATTCACGGTAAACTTAATCTATATAATGGGGCTGTAAATGGATTTTGGTCTCCCACTGTCTTCTATGGCCTCCTTCAAACCAGATGTTCACAATTCAAACTGATACCATTCCCTTCTTCAGTACTGGATATTATTATTTACTATCTTTGGATCATAAAGGCTGATGTGATTTTTTTTTCTTGTGAATTTAGCTGATGCTTCACTTAGATCTCTGCTTATTTGAAGACAAGCCTTTATGACTTCATGCGCTCGCTATTCTTTTTGATAGTCAGACACCATCTACTTTCTCCTCAAATCTTGTTGGGAATACTTGTGATCACATCAGGCTTGAGACAATTTTTTTTTCCTTCCCTCTCACAAAGATCAGTCAGGTAGAGGGCTTAATTTTATATTAAGAGCTTTATATAGTTCAAAAATATATAACATATGTCTTTCATTGTATTGCTGTCACTTTTCAAGTTTATTGCTTGTGATTTACCATTAAGTTTATTGCTTATAATTTACCATTAGTAACCATTAATTTACCATTAATAAACACTTTGAAGTTGTTTCAGATAATGATGGTATATTTGACTGAAGGGAGTACATAAATCTTCCTTTCATAAGTTATTCTTACACACATGCTCCAATATATTTATTCAGTATTTTGGGTTTTTTTGCTGATAATGAAATTTATTTATTTA